TGCTTCTGTTTATCTTTCTATTTCAAGAATAAGAAATAATTGATTGGTGCTATTATACACATAAATGTCTTGTAGGGAGCCAGCCCCAAGAAGTAAAATTTCATGTGCCGATGATGTGATGTGTAGAGGAAATCCCCTCACTCTAGGAAACGGAACACTTAGATTCATGTCCCTACTCTGTCCCTTTGTTTGTGTGACTATACCCTGTTTCCTGTGTTCGCCCCTGTAAAATGGAGATAACATCCATTCTATCTAGCTCGAATGGAATCGTGTTTGTGAAGGTACTCTGTAAATTATAAGGCGCTGCACAAACACAAAGGATCGTTACTAATCCTAATCTAGACCTTAAAAATAAATTACCACACAGAACTACAGTGCATGAAATAACTGTTCTTTCTTCACTGGGAAGGATAGGATGGAATGGAACAAATAGATGGAATTTAATTCTAGACTACATTCAAGGCTTTTGTGTGGCATACATGCTATGAGCTGTCTATCTTTTAGGCTGTGTGCCGCCCTCCATTTCCTTTGTAATGTTCCATAGCATCTAATAGAAATGTTCCATCCATAAAGATGCCCTGTAAATGCAGCTACTCTTGCAAACCCATACTTATCTCAGAATGTTTTCCCTCTTTCCTGGCTACCCAGGGAGATGCTAATTTGGGACCCAGTCCCAGGATGCAAAGGGGCTTCTTGGAGGCCCCAACCTGACAGTCTGTCTGGTCAATGAGGAGTGACGGATCAGGCAGGTTCTAGGAGCCAGACCTTTGAAACACACTGGAGTGACCACAGAAAAACGGTGGGCAGAAGGCCAGGCATTTGGAGAAAAGTTGAAGAGTCACAGAAGAACCCAGGTTTCAGTAAAAGCTGAGCTGTGGGCATACAAGGGATTTTGAGTGGATGGTCAGCTATGGCAGACAGAACCGAGGGAAGAGGCTAACACATGGGGCTGATAAACTAGTCCCTACTGCTTGAAAGGAAGATTGATAAGCAGAAGAGTGGGTCAAGTTAGGAAACTGGTAACAGAATGGAAAACCCTTAAAAAATGGAAATCCATAAAAATATTTCTTGAATTTGTGAAACCAGATTGTTAGAATTACAAGGGATGCTAAAGACTGGTTTAAAACACTCTCTCCATCTATAGATGTGGAAACAGGCTCAGAGAGGTGAGACAGCCTGATTTATATCACATGGCAAATTACTGAAGAGATTGGTGTAAGAACCCAGGAGTGCTCAGTTTCAGTCTAGGTTTTTGTTCTGACTAAACCAAGATTCTTTCCTACAGAAGTAAGATCCCTAACCCTGCTACAAGTTTAATGCAATTCACAAAATTTCGGTGAACCAATTTCTCAAAAAGGGGACCTGCCCACAGCTGGGCTGGAGAAGTCCTGGCGCCCTTGGCAGCAGGTGGAAGTGGTCAAGGAGGGAGGCAGGGTGGGTGTCCCACTGGCAGGCCTGTACCTGATGATGCTTGATCCCAACGTTAACCGGTATAGAAATGGAATTCAGGTGGAGTGAAACGGGTCATCTCTTTCCCAGACCACCCCTTTGTTAGTGAAGGAGGCCCCTTTCCTGATATCCGCCCCCCTCCCACCCCCAGTCAGTTCCTTTCTAGACAGACATCCTCCAGAAAAGCTGTTCCTGAACGACCTTCTTACAAGGCCTTCTGGTCATCTGTTAAATTACAACAGGTTGCAGCTCATAAACAAGTGCCCACTGTGAAGTGGAGGCAGGTTTAAAAATAAACGGAAGGCTTGCATTCAAGTAGTTTAAGAGTGAACAGAATTTACAAATACAGAAACACATGGGAAGATGTTTGTGTCAAAGTCCCACACCAACAGCTTTCCTCTAGTCGAAATTCTTGGTAGCTGAGTGGGAGCAAGTGTGGGGAAAAAGAGAGAGAGAAATTAGACGGGGTTAATGTGATGTCTTGGTGTTTCGTTCTGTTTCAGCTCAGAGAGAAAGAGGTGTTACAGCTCTAAAGAGAAGTAGTTAAATTATGATGGCCACTATGTAAAAATAAGTTCAGGGACAAAGGCTTGAAAATGATACACAAAAAGGAAAATAATTGTGTTGGGGACGTAGGATTATGGATGAGTTTCTCCCAAGCCCATAATACTGTTCAACATTTCCAATTAAATGTTCTAACTTTTCAAATTTTGCTTCCTGGTTGTCTATAAAATCACAATTCCCAAAACTCTTGTTTTTTGTCCATCACAGCACTTTTTAAGACAGAGAAACACTGGAAACCATGTATCTAAATGTTTTAGGGGACAGATTGGATAGGCTGTGGTCCAGTCATAACAATGAAACACTATACAGCTATTTAAAAAGGAAGACAGGCAGGGCACAGTGGTTCATGCCTGTAATCCTAGCACTTTGGGAGGCCGAGGTAGGAGGATCGCTTGAGGCCAGGAGTTTGAGACCAGACTCAGCAACTTAGTGAGAACCCTACAAAAAATATAAAAATTAGCCAGGCATGGTGGTACACACCTGTAGTCCCTGCCACTTGAGAGACTGAGGCAGGAGGATCACTTGAGCCCAGGAGTTTGAGGTTGCAGTGAGCTATGATGATGTCACTGCATTCTAGCCTAGGCAACACAGCAAGACCCAGTCTTGAAAAAAATTAAAATAAATAAAATAAAAAGGAAGACACAGATCTGAATGTGTGGATATAAAACAAGCACTGAGACAGTAAGTCAACAAAGGCAGGTATAATAGGACAGTAAGTCTAGTTTAAGCACATATATCCATGCAAACATGTACCTATTCACGGAAATTTTCTGGAAGTATTGCCAAAAAAGTTGGTAATGGTTACTTCTATCTTGTGAAGGAAACTGAGAGTCTGAGGTGAATTTCATGATATAAACTCCCATACTGTTTGAAAACAATATGTATATAATTAAAGATTCTAAATAGGATATACTGGTGTTACTTTTATAGTGTTAAACTTTCTAGTCAAGGTTCTAAGGGTATTCTTCCTAAGGGGTTTGAAGACAGAGGGACCAAAAGTCCTATTCTTGTCCCCATACTTAGAAAACAGACAATCTGATTATGCCTAGAGTTGTCAAAATGTGGAGGCAATGTGTGAAAAAACTAAATATGCTCATCTTTCAGAGGGAGATCTACTGAGATATATTGAGATGTATATCTCTACATGCAGCTGAAGAACTGGGCCAGCCTCCCACCAGGCCTCCCAAATTAAGCAACAAGGAATGAGCTGTTCACTCTTCTCTCTTTGGAGGGCCTAGGGGTGCTCTGCACTTCAAAAGATACCCATCACTCCAGATCCACAGAACCATCCCAAAGCCCTGGGAATCATGCATCTCCCAAATATTCTGCACAGGGTTTGCCCCAAACCATTCCCAGGTCTCTCTGGGCCCAGGTCAGTATCCTATAACTTTCTGGAACCAAAACAGTGTGACTGGATACAGAGGGCTGACTTGAAAAAGGAGGCAACTTAAACGTCTTCTGGACTCCATGTATGGGGCCTATTCCTGGGTCCCTCTGTCAGATGATACCACGTAGCTTGCGCTTTGACGTTCTGACCACTTTTCTACAGGATACATTACTTTAGCTTTCAACATTTCTCTTTGCTTTCACATATTTCAGGTCCTAATGAGAGGATGTTTCACTATGAATTCATAAGAAAAGATGGCAAAAATCTTTCTGCCATTCCCTCCTGGGTGTCTCAGCATGAAGGATCTTTAGAGAGTTACTTGGACCAAGGGAAAAACCAAGACAGTGGACAAGGCATCGCCTCTCATACAGGCCTTGATGCCCAGGATCAGCAGGCACAGCATTCAGGGTGCTGGACACATGGTGAGGATGGGAGACAGCAGATACACATGGGGTGGCTCACAGGGCACCGCATGGGATGGCCCAACTTAGCCAGCCCATTCTTTTCCCTAAACATGCTGCCCCAAAGAACTTAAAAGGGGGGAAGTATTTTCTTGGTTAAGTTAAAAATCACTTGTGTTCAACACATTTCCTCCTAATTTCTGACACAGATGAGGAATGCTAGTTCATGATGTCCCTTATCACTGACATGCATACTAAGCCAACTGGCTCTGGTCTGTTCAGGGTTTTCACTTCCTGTTGCACATGAAGGCCTCTTAATGTGTGTGTGCCTTTGCCCCTCATTCTCCCTGACCTCTGTGCCATCTGACAGCCTACTAGAACCTCCACCAGGGGCACAGGGCAAGAAAAAAAAAAACATTTATAAATGATTCTGGTGTATACTGCTTTTATTTTTGAAACCAGTGGCTAAACTGTAATCTGTGAATTTGATTAGCTATGCTCTGCCCCATGACCACAAATAAACCAAAACTGGCTGCACTTCTGGGAAGCAAAATTTCTTCTCTGCCTTTTCCCTGCTTGTCAAATGACCTCAATACCTTTTAACCAATAGGCCTCTTTACTGAACAGCCTGGCGAGGACACAGGTATGAACTGAAGTTGGGAAGAATTCCCAGTCTCCTGCCTACTATGTCTAACTCCGTCCCCTAAAGTGGATGCATTGAGCTTTGCCTCAAGTATAAATAGTTCCACTGTCATTATGGGGCTTTCACACAGGCTCACAGGGTTTTTGTTTTTTTTAAATGTTTCATTATCTCATTGATCTTTTCTCCAGATTTTCCACAATGTTCTCAAAGTCTAAAACTCTGAACTGGAATGCAGAGTCTAGCACAGGCTCTTACGAAGCCGGGTATAGGATCCTCTCCCTCCCAGTTTCTACTGGGTCTCTTTCCTTGGTAGGTCCCAGCATTCCAGCTGCTGTCCGTGCACAGGCTGTACCTGCCAGCCAGCAGAGCAGCTGCTGACTCATGCTTGCTTTGGGATCTGCTAGGACCCCAGTTCTTCTGCTCTTCAGCCACAACAGCCACCACCCACCTCACAGAGCCCTCCGCCCATCACCTTCTGGGTTCTCGGCTCTGACCTGATCAGACTCCCACAAGTCTATGTTGCTTTACCTGGCCCTGCCCCGTCCCCGGAACCCACCTGGAAGACGTCGTTGGCACACTTGCGGCACAGGTTGTGTTGGCAGGGCAGGATCACCACCGGTTTGGAGAACATCTCCAGGCAGATGGGGCAGATGAGCTGCTTCTCCAGGTTGTCCATGCTGTGTGCATCCCCTAGCAGCGGCTTGAAACCCACTGCGAAGTTCATCCCCTCAGTGATCGTACCTACCCTGGACTGGGCCCTGCTCCTGGCCTGCTCTCACTGCCTCTGGACCCTTCCTCGTTTACTTTAGACGATCTGTGGATTGTTATGTTCCCTCTGTTGCTCACTCTTGAAATAACTTTGCTATCTCTCCTGTCCTTTCCTCTGACAACTGGTCCTCAGATAGCTGTCTCTAGACACTTCTCTGTCTCTCTGTATTCTTTGCTCTGTACCCTGGCCAGGCACCTGTGACTTTATCTATCCCTCCCTTCCTGTAAAATTCTCCTTTTGTTTTCCAAATGACTCTCTCTTGTTCACTCTGTGGGCAGCACTGTTTGTCCCTTACTCCCCAGAGAGGAGATTAATTTTACTGTGGGGGTGGGGAGACAAGGGTCATCTGTGTGACATTCCAACTCCCGATTTAGCTCATGTAAGGCGAGCCACAGCTGTCACCGAGTGAGTGACCCTGACTCACTCAGGAATGGGTGACTCCCTTGAGCAGGAGCAGGGGTGAGCGCCACTGCTCAGAGTGAAAGGGGGACCAGCAAAGGTGCTGGTCTCTCACTGGCCCTCACCTGGAAGGTGAGCCTGATCCCTGCTCTGGCTGGGCCCTTCTTCCAGGACAGTGACACAGGATCTAAGATGGCCTGCGTGAGAGCCACCATACATGGTTTAGGGTGGGTGGAAACATCTTGCTAGACCTACAGTCACTGACAGTTTCCTCCTCCACAGGCTTAGCTAGTGGCCCTGGCCCTCCTCTTTAAGACCGTGTGATTCAGAACAGCCGTACCAGAGACTAGGGAGAGAGCCTCTTGTCCAACACTTCTGGCTCACTTTTGTTCTTGCTCAGCCTTCTCTTATATCACCCTAGAAAAAGCAGCTCGAGAGGCTAGAAGTGGCTGTTGTGCCAGGGCATGGAAGTACCTAGGAGCATGCCCCTGAGTAAGTGTGGGATTCTAGTCCATGAACACATCACTGGAGACACTCCAAGGATTTCAAATTTGTTGGGAAACTGAGAGAAGCTGAGCTAGGTGGAAAGGATCTGAGTGCCAGGGACCTATTTTGGGCACCCAGGGAATCAATCTCCAGGGAGCTTTAGAGCACTGACAAAGTCATAATCACAAGGCTCTGGGGCTCCCAAGTCCAGTTGTCCTGGACTCCGACTAACCAAACCAGGCCTGTCCCAATTGTGAGCACTGGTCTTCTTTTTCTCCTATAAGCCTTTTTTCTATCTAAGGTACAATTTGTCTTTTTCGGGCCCAACGTATACACTGGGATTAGACAAAAGCTCTTTTATTTACTGACATTCTTCGGTCCTTCTCCCAGTCCGCAGAGAGAAGTTCGAGGAGTTATTAGGCTCTGACCCTGGGTGGATGGGAAATAAATGTAGAGAGGATACCAAACAGGCAGAAAGAAGAGGCCAGAATCGGGAAAGAGTCTGCAAGTACAATCTTTTCCCTATCACATTCCATGCCCCTGTTTAAGAACAAGCTATATGGTGATCAGCCTGCATACGATGTGGTAAAAACGATGGGGAGAGGCAGGCGCTGATGTGTGAACTTCAGTCAACCCACAGGACCAAGGCTCATTCATGTTAGACTAATAGCTGAAGTCCAAGGAAAATCCAAAGATGGGACTACTTCTAAGCCTCAAATGCACTCAGACTTTTCCTGAGTCAACTCATGGTGGCATGGAATGAGGATGGCAATGCCAAGGGCCATGGGTACAGAAGGTGAGACTAGCCCCAGAAAGGTACATTGGCTTAGGAACAAGCTGATGCCAGAGGTTGCTGGTACACAGAGTTGCAACAAAGGAGAGTTAACTGGTGTGGCAGCTCCATGGACCCGTAGACAGGATCTGCCCTGTCCAGTTATCAGGATCTTGGCAAAGATATCACAAGGGGCTCAGGGGCTCTGTCAGCTGACATTGGCTCAAATAACAAGGTAGGCACAGGACAAAGAATCCTCAGGAAAACTCTGCCACCACTGGCTGAGACCTCAGAAGGGTAAGGATGGGAGGGCTGCTCTCTGACAGATTAAAACTGGGACCAGGATGAAAAACAAGAGTAGCCAGGTGGCTCCGTGTGGCCAAGGTCAGTGGTACCACCACGGGTAGAGATGATGTCCTTACTGGGACAGATGTCATCAATGCTTCTGAAGTTGGGATTCTTATAAGAAGAGGGGTTAAATCAGGGTCAATGTCAGCACAGGGCTACTTGCTTCTCTCTTCAATGTGTCCAGTGGACTGGGCAGCAGAAGGCACCCTCACTGGGTCAGCACCTAGTGGCAGAAGAAGGTAGCACCTTGTTAACCAGGAAAAATAACCTAGAGTTTAAAGCAAACCCCCTATATGTAAGAATATAAACACTTGTAGTCCATATTATAAAGACATAGACTTTGCATCAATGACTCACGTGAAGTTACTTATATGCTTTTCTTATCTGTTAATTATTGCTGCCTTTCAGCTTACATACCTCATTCTTTTTCATCTCTTAATCATCTTCATCATATTCGTTGTTTCTAAAGTGACTTCTGGCTCCTATGATGGAATTATATATATGATTACATATATAAAGAGTAAGTACTTTTAGTCTACTGATGAGAAATCCATTACTCTGCTGTTACTCATTAGCATCACTAGGTGGCACTGGTGTGAAGTTCAGTCAACCTACAATTTTAAAGTTGAACTATTTGGGGTGAGAATAATCTCAGACACTTCATCTTCCTTTCCAGTAGATGCAAAAAACTGCATCCTCAAACCTGTCTTCAACTACTGCCTTTTCTAGGCATACTCTCCATTCCTTCGCTTAGCAGGAGAGGCCAACACCACATTGAAACTGTCAGTTTGTGGCATAAGGCTCACAGAAACATATCGATGCCCTTCTCTTTCTTCACTCTGCTCCAGCGCCAGACTTGAAACTGCCATATTTAGGGGTTAACCTGCCATTTTCACAGGCCTTTCTCACCCCTAAACATTTCTCTCATTCCTAATCCAGATCTTACCTGTCTATGGCTCTCACCTGGCCTTGGAGGCTCTCTCTGGACGTTCTGTTCGTATTTCCTCCTATTAGCCTGCTCAGGAGGTGGTTTAAGTGTTCCACAGCAAAAACAGCAGCAACAACAGCAACAGCAGCCAGTGAGCAGTACACACAGGATGACAAGTGTCTAAAAGGTGGGAGACAATGGCCTCAGTCTGGCAGTTCTTCATTATGACCATTTGAGCTCCCCTCCTTCAATCCTCCTACCACCCAGAAAATCAGACGACAGAAGCATTTGTCCTAGAAGAGGAGGGTCACCCCTATTTCCTTATTCTTAAGGGACTAGGAAGAAATGTGTACCTTGAACCAACAACTATTCAGAGTAAAATAGTATCTGACGCCTTCTTCGCCATAGTGATCATATAGATATATTCCCAATGAGCCATGCCGGTCATAGATTTTCCGCTTCTTAGGGTCACTCAGTATGGCGTGGGCTGTGTTGATCTCCTTGAATATTTCTGCTGCTTGAGGGTTCCCTGGATTCTTGTCTGGATGACACTTCAAAGCCAGTGACCTACCCAGGCAATACCCAAAAGGTGGGTGGAGAGGGAGATGGCGAATGGCTGGGGAGGGAAGGTTAGGATGAATGACAGGGACAGGTCTCTGGATAGTGCAGAGAAAATGCATGAGGTGTGGTACAAAGGATGGAGACAAGGAGCCAAGGTCTAAATTCTTTCCCATGCCACAGTGAAGAGGTTGATGGCCCCATTTGGCCCCAAAATGAAGGCTTGCTGGGATTTAAAAATGGGTCAGGGAGCAAAGTAGAAAGAAAAAGGTTCAAAAGAGAAAACTCCAGGGTTTAACAAAGGGCTGAGGTCTGAACCTGTACGCCTTTTTGACATCTTCAGGTGACGCACCCTTCTTGAGCTCCAGCACTGCATAGAGGCTCCTGCCACTTTTGGACAGTCGTCGGGCTGCTTCGTCCACATCAGACATGCTCTGAGCCGGAAGAGAAAAAGCATTTGTGAGAACCTCCACAGGTAAGGGCATGGAGGAGTGAGCTTCCTGTAAAAGGAAACTCATTGCCTTCAGGGGCTAGGCAGGTAAAAGATGACTAAAGAACAAGAATAAGACAACAGCAAGTGTGATCGGCAACCATCAGGAGAGTGCAGGTGACAGAAAGTCATTCAAATTCAAATTTTAAAGAGGAAACATCTTTCCCTCACATTTCCCAGCATCCTCCAGCTACACAGACCTCAAGACACCCACATCCTAGAGAGGCATAACCAAAGAGAGGTCAAAGTCATGGGAAGAGTTTGATTTTGTCCAGAGCTCCTATTATCTTAGGTAAACAGCCCCGGGCCTGTCCAAGTTCACTGCTGGGTTTGAAAGACTAGGGCAGCCCCAGCCCCTGAACAGGTGGGTCAGGAAAGATCCACAATTACCAACGTAGAAACCAAACTGCATGCTGCCTAAGAGAAGTTGGGTGTGTGGAAGCCAGGCCTGAGGGGGGTGCTTGCAGCCAAGCCAGGGACTTGCTTCTTCCCCCCAGCCTTCCGCTCTCAAACCATCCCAACTCTGCCCCTCAGAGACAGGCCAGTGGGGAGAACACAAAAGGATGACTCAGGGACTGAAAAAGGAAGCAGAAAGGGGTTGCTAGTGGGGCGGCCCAGGGAGGGAAGAGGGAGCAGGACTACAGAGAGTGGGATAGAGGACTGGGGGGCCTACCGCCAGGGAGAACCCAGGCAAGGAGCTCAGAAGGAGAAGGTGTGCTCTGCGTGCGCAGGGCCCCTCTGGCCCTGTGCCGACTCCCCAGCTGGGCCTGCTCCTTTACCTAGGAGTCGCTCTCTTGAGCCACGTAGGCCTCACATACCCTTCATCCTCCTGGGTGTGAAACTTCACATCGGCCAATTCCAGCAGCCAACTGCGCTTGCGTGATGGGGCGAAACTCTGGGTCGTTTTTGGCGCCCACAGAAAAGCGGAGCGGGGAGGCTACGTTGGGCCTGGGCCTTATTTCGCGCACGGGAAGCCTGAGCGCAGGGATCCAGGTGGACCGCTGAGCGTTGCTTCCGGCACTTGGCATCACCAGCCGCATCCGCGGAGGGAACTACCCGTCCTGATGGCCGTCAGGGCTCACCAACTCACTTAAGGAAAGGCAGTGGGCTTGCCGACCGTGGCAGACGAGAGGTATGGCTGTTGCAAGCGCTTCTCAAGAGGTGTATTATCTTCCCAGTCTTCTTCAGAATTTAGGGGTCTCCACTTGCTCTCTCTTTTCCTTCCACCTGGAAACTCCTCCCCAACATTCAAGACCCACCTCCGATGTCAGTGTTCCTGAGACTCCTTCCTTTTCTCTCCCAGTTGTTCCCACCTTGTCTGTCAAAGCATTTCTCCTATTATATTGTAATGATTCGTTTGCATATCCCTTTAAAATGATTATCATGAGCTTTTCCAAAAGTCACTACTCAGCTTCATTCAAAAACTTCGTTTTGGCCGGGCGCGGTGGCTCACGCCTGTAATCCTAGCACTCTGGGAGGCCGAGGC